CCAAGGAGCATATTCTGGAGAGGGTTTGGGATGTGTCTTGTTTACAAACATGGAGATGAGGTCTGTTTCTACCCAGAGAATTCCTGAGGCAGGGAAGAGGAAGGAGAGTCCTGAACCCCCTCCCAGTGTTCTGAGACTGTCAGTTATAGGTGGTGGGCCCTAGTGTGCCAGGGCTCCAAGTGTTAACATAGGAAGGTAAGAGGAGGTTGGGAGCTGTGGGGTGGTACAGGTAATTCTGCAGCTCAGCACATGGGCTGTGAGCCTCTGGCAGACTGGACAGAGAGCCCACACAGAGCGAATTTCTCACCAATTATGCATCAGAAAAGCAAAAGAAAGAATCAACCCCCCAAAACCTTGTATGAATGAGAGCAAGACCATCTCTCCTCACCCCCACCATCATCACGTGAGGCCTGTGAAGACACACTTGGCTTTTCCCTTTCTCTTTCCCACCCACCATGCTGAAGGAGCAAGCACCCAGAGATCAGAAAAGTGACCAGGCTGGGGTCATGGTTCACATGGTAGAGCCCTTGTAAAAGGCCCTGGGTTCCAACTCGAGTACTGCCAAAAGCAACAACAATAATAATGAACCAAAAACAAAAACATCAAAGTGACCACTTAGTTATTGGTTGGGTCTTAGATGCTGAGCTGAGAAAGGAGATTTGACAGCTGGATGAAAAGAAAATACTTCCTTTGTACTTTGCAATGAACCAGTTACTGATTACATACAATCATTTTAAAAGCAATGTATTGTGTTTTCTGGTGTCAGACCCATTGTCTGTACATCTACTAACTCATTTAAACCCCCCACCCACTCTCATGGCCTCCACTTTACAGACTGACCAAGCTTTGGCATAGATGGGTTAAGGCACTTGCCAAAGGTCATACATGCAAATTTAAGATGCCATCATGCATCTTATCATATTTAATACCACCAAGGCTATTTGGAGCATGTTTGTGGCAGATCTGGGCTGTGGGCTTCCAGTTTGAGGCTGGCCCACAGTTTATGGATAAATCAGGAAGCCCCGTGGTGTACAGAATGTCAAGCCCACTTAAGAGTTGTGGGATCTCACAGGTGGGCAGATCTTGGAGTCAGTTGCACTCTTACCTCTGCTTTACAGATGGGAAAGTCAAAGGGGGCAGACCTTGTCCAGGGTTGCCATGGCTCAGGTCCATCCCTCTTTTCATGGACCTCACTTGAATTCACATCCTGGGAACCAAGAACCCTTCAGCTTCTGTGGTTCCATGTGAAGGGAAGAAAGAGGGCAGGACTCCTAGGTGTTATGTCCCATCCTCTCTAGGATGTCCGCCTGTTCCCAGGAGTGGGCCATTCTGAATTGGGGATTAGATAATCTGATATTACCCAGTCCAAAGGCCTCCTCCCTGGGCTGCACAGAGGGTGGGTGCTGACCAGGGTGCTGAACTGATACACTGCTCTTCTAACAGCATCTCTGGGGGGACAGAGAGGTAAAAGGGAAGGGACACTCGTGTTTTTTGTCATCAGGACCTCCATGACTTGGCCAGTGTTTCATAGGAAAGCCTTGGACTTTGTGGCTCTGGGAAATTCATCCTCACACTTCAGCTCTGGACTTGGCTTTTTCACCTGTTTGAAGAATGAACGGTAGCTTCCAACCTACTCAACTCTGAAGGCTGAAATGAGCAGTACCTAGACCAAGTGACAGAGCCCAAGCCCAGCCTTGGCACTCAGAGAAGCCTTCCAGGAGAGCTCACTCTTGAGGGGCTTCCTGGACCTGTCTCCTCCCCTTCAAGATGGAGATTGTTCAGACACTCCTGTCCCAGTTGCTCTGGTGTAATTACTGTGGAAGTGCTTGGGAACAAGAGCACCTTGCCAACAAGATGGGTTTTACCATCCTTGAAATCACACAGCACTGTTCCTACAGGTCCTGATTGTTCTCCAGCTCCTGGGATGGGCTTTGCCCAGGGACCCACACTCCTCATCTGGTCAGGCTATATTTTACTGAGAACTTCAGAGCTGTAGAACCAGGCTGATCTGTCTTGGGGGTTCATCCAGCACCTCAACTAATGCTACTATCACTGTTCATCTTGGACTTGTCTAGCAGCACAACATGAGATGAGAAACCTGGCATGTTGGGGGCATCACACGAATGCTGTCTCCTACACTGAAGGTGGCCCAAGGGTCCTCTCCTCTTGTCCCTGAGCCCCATCCTCACCTACCCTTAGGACCTTAGCAATAATAGTGGCTGGACCCAGTGAGCCCCCACAACTATCTGCTAATACAACACACTATTTGGTGGGTGCTTGCACTAATCCTGCAGGCAGAGTTGACAGTTATTTTGTAGATGAGAAAGGCTACATATAATAAAGGGAGTGCTGGGGGTCACATCCACAGTATTTGTCTGGTTCTGGGATGCTTACCTGGTCTTGGGAAAATTACCATACCTTCCCAAGCCCTCTTTTCCTGGTTTAGAAAATGGGGGTCATCTCTCATTGTGGATATGACTTGAAGATATAATGTATGTTACCTTCAGGGGTACCTGCAGATTTGAATGCATGTGTGAAATACATTTGAGAAGCCACATGGGTAAAAGAATGGAATGGATACTGGGGGTATAACCAGGGAAAATTTAAAATGAGGGGGTTCTCGAATGCATTAATCATGTGTGCCGTTAACTAAGACTGACTCAAATTCTTTGCAGCCAATATCCAAGTGAAGGTAACAGTTTGTAGAATTGAGTGCCTCAAACTTCACACACATGAATCAGGTGGGGAACTTAACACAAGTTCACATTAAGTCTAAGGTGGGGCCTGAGATTCTGCATTCCTAACAAGTTCCCAGATGATGCTGTTGCTGCTGCTACTGCTCTGAGAAGTGAGGAGGGAGAAAGACTTCCCTCCACTCCTCAGTTCTCAGACTTGTATGATCTATGAAATCTCATAAGGAACTTTCAAAAAATGGCTTTGAAGGCCCTTCCTAGGGATGTGGATTGGGGCCCAAGATGTACTGTGTTCCTAGTGCAGGCATCTCAGGAAAACCATTAGGGAAGCAAGGCTATGGTACCCATGTGTATCAGGGCCATGGCACAGACAATCACAGACTGGCTCACTATTTTGAATAGGGAAAGAGATTGAGGATATTTTCACAGGATCCCTTGCTGCTAGGTTCTGAGAGGTGATGTAGCTTCCAACACACAGATGTATTCAACTCAGCCTTGAACTGAGTGGGCCAAGGTGACAGTATGAAAGGCACCCACTTTCTGGTGCAGATTTAGACAGTTGAACTGAGACTCTGGCGTTCCTTCTCCCCAGATTATGGCAGTGATGATGTGATCCTTGTGCTCTTTGGATCCTACACTTTTTGGTTAAAAACCTGAATTATTTTCTGTTTAGTACAGTGGAAACCCAGGACTAACACTCAGCAAGGCCCCCTCCTCTCCCTCATCCTTTGGAACCCTCATCACACTTCACTCTCCTATGGGGCACTCACCTTATGTGGCTTCTGTGGAATGAAGTCATTCATTCAAACTTCCTGTCATTGCTGCCTTTTGAATTCTAGCTTCTGTCCTTGGTCACTGAGGCCTTGTCCCTACCTCCCTTTCCTCCGTCCTCACTGCCTGTCACTCTTGCCTTTTGACCCATCCTCAGGGGCAGATTCAGAGCCAAGCACAGGTGGAGTGATTCAGGGTGTACCTGTAGCTTCCCAAGGACAAACAAAGCTGAGGTCTGGTTGCCTGCCTTGAGAGTCTCTCACTTGGAGCAAAAAATAAAACTATGGCCAACAAGCATGCAAATGTTAGAACAGCAGAAGTTGGGGGCATGCATGTGGGAAATTCTGCCTCTCTTTGGTGGTGTCCGTCTTTATTGGAACTACACCAAAGTGCATGAGCTTAGGTGACAGGGAATGTTAACTGCTCCACAGATTCTGATTTCCTCCTGTGAAGAGAGCCACATTAGTAAGACAGTGTCATTAATGACAACAGAAGGTGGAGGGAAGCTGGGTTCCAAACAGTGAGGTTGTGTGGGCCTTGCTATATGTTCTCCAACTGTGTGTCAACAGGTATTGACCATCCAGCATCAGAAGATCGTCTCCATTTAAGCCTAATGCCTTCTTGGGTGTGAGTAATTAAGAAACTCACGACTGAAATGGTGGTGGGCTAAAGCCCATGACGGAGTAGATAACACAGTGAGAAACGCAGCCAGCTCTAAGGATGGGGAGGATAAACCAAGGAAGAGGAGGTGGGATGTGGGTCAGTGCATCCTAGAAATAGTGCAGGGTCTATGGCACTTCAGCATGACCAAAATACAGTGATTTAAAACCAGACTTATTCTACCTGTGTAAGCCACCAGTGAATTCAAATTTCAAACCATGCAAAAGTGATGCTATGAATCTCACTAGACTTAAAAAAGTCACAGGAACTTCCCTAGAGAAAGGACCTGTCCTGTATCACATCCAGTCCAGAACCATGCCCAAAGTCACACCCAATTCTGTGGTTCACTGGCCATGGCCACCCTAAGGTGGCTGTTCTCAAAGTCATGATCAGCTCCCCAAGGAGCTGTGTGGTTCTGATCTCTTTCTTGCATGACCTTGATCAAAATTTTGTTTTAAAAAATATATAGGACAAAACCACAGTGAGATATGAATCGATAGCCAGTAGGATGGCTGTAAGTCAGAAGATGAAGAAAACAAGGGTTGGTGATAATATGCAGAAACTGACACCCTCATACATGACTGCCAGGCATGTACAATGGTGACTGTTGTGGAAAACTGTGGCAGTTCCTTGGAAAGTTAACCACAGCACTACATGTGACCCAGCAATTCCACTCCTTGGTATATACCCAAATGAACTAGAAACATCTGCCCCCACAAAAACTTGTCCATGAATTTTCATAGCAGCACTAGTCATAATAGCCAAAAAAGGAGAAACAGCCCAACTGACCATCAATAAATGGACAAATGTAATATCCATTATTATTTAGCCATAAAAGGAATGAAGTATTGATACAGAATATAATATGAATAAATATTGACAAATAATATTGTGCTAGGCGAAGAAGCCAGACACAAAAGGCCTCATATTGAGTGATTTCATTATTAAAACTGTCCAGGACAGGCAAATCTTTAGAGATAGTACACTAGGGGTAGCCTGAGCTGGGAGGGGAGAAATGGAGGTGACTGCCAGTGGGTATGGGGCTTTTTTTGGGGGTGGTAAAATGTCTAGGAATTAGGTATTGTAGTGGATGCCTAACACTGAATATACTACAACCCACTGAGTTGTAATACTTTAAAAGGGTAAACTTCATGGGTATGTGAATTATCTCTTAATAAAGCTGTTATTTAAAGAGAGGAACAGGTTATTCTGCTGTTATTTGTTGTTAAGGCTCCAATTTTGGGGATTTTACAAGAAACAAACCTGAAACACACCTCCATGCTGCTGGTTTATTACTCATGGCTGGGAGGAGGGGAGCAGCCCAAACTAAAACAACAGCCTGACTAGGAAGTTCCTGAAGGCCCCATGCTCTCCCCACAGAACACTTATAACATCATGTTCCTCAGTATCCTTGATAGGAGACCCCACATGAGAAATGGATGATTCTGCACATCAATCACTAAATTTTGTTTTCAGAAAATGAATCATATATATGATTTTTTGCTGCCAGAACATCTAAGTGGCAAATTTATTGCTTACATTTTATCTTTTCCTAGATTTGGGGTCCTAAAAGTTATCATCAACCTTCCCTGCATCTGATAGTCTGTAATCTGCTGGCTCTTTTAATGCTTCCTTTGATAATAAAGGACATTTTTATGATGGCTCTAAGTCTTTTTAGTTGCAGGTATAGTCTAATTCCAAAGCAAACATTCCGCCCATCTGCTAATCCTCAAGGAAGGTCATGAGTAATGATAACATCTCTACCTCTGCCCAGTATCTGGGCCTTTCTCTAGAGCAGATGTTCTAAAGGTTTCAAGATAGTCAGCTCCCTGTCTCCAGGGTCTTTGTCAGTGCCATGTCAGGGACATGGCATGTGCCAGAAACACCCAGGGAGCCCAGGCTTACTCATGCTGCCCAGCCTCCACCCAAGATTGGCCCTGGGCCTGTCAGTTCAGTTTACCCTGCCCATTCTTGGGCTGAGCAGACTGCTATGGCAGTCCTAGGCTATAGGAAGAAGCCTTTAGACACCTCAGGAAAGCTACAGTAGCCTGCTGCTGCCTATAGGAAAATGATGCATCTTAATTTAGGGGAAGGACTCCAAGGAGCTGAGAAGTGAAAGGGCCCATACATGGTTGAAATGCTGGCTGTGAGGGAAGGTGCCTAGTGCCTCAACTTCATGCTTCCTGGCCTGGAGCTCTTTCCACTGCAGCACAGGGGCTCAGCACTGCCCACATATGTCAGCTTGAGTTGCAAAGGAACTGGAGAACACCAAAGGTCAGGTGGAAGTAGACACAGGCTTCCAGAGGCCAGGGTTCCCTGCTCCTCCCAATGTTTGACACCACACTTAGATGGAACCTATGCTCTTGTGTTGTCTGGGTCCCAAGAGGGACAAGAAACACATAAAACTCTTTTCCTCTCTTCCTTTCACTCCAGTTCCTAGGGTTGATGTCCTTCACAGAAAAAGACATCAGAATGTTTCAGAGCAGGAAAGGTCCCTCCAATTTCACAGGTGGCTACAAGGTCCTAAAGAATGGACTTCCTTAGGGTCACCACGTCCTTAATTACAGGCAAAAATGAGATTAGCCTGTTGCTGCCCTGGCAGATAGACCCAGTAGGATTCCCAGAACAGGAGCGACTGGAGGATTGTCCTGGTGAGAATGATGAGGTCTTTCTACAGTGTGCCTGTCCTGGTGACACTTATCCGTGTGGCCCTATGGCACTCCAGTGACATATATCCACCCATGAAGCCAGACTTAGGCCTTTCTTATTAATGTCAGGAGCAACAGCAATTTATGAAGGGAGAGAGCTTGAGAAGAATGAGCCCTGGATAGGCACAGATTCCAACTCTGAAGGCTCACAACTTGAAGGAGCTGTGTGTTAACATGAAAAGGAAAGGGGAAGACCGGCAACATGAACTTTGTATTGACATTTGGTTCTTAATAATAACATCCAAAATGCGTTCTGTTCTTATAGCACTGTGACCGGGACTGCATTGGGTGGAGGGTGTATGTTGCCGGAGTCTCCCTTAGGACCTATATGCAGCCAGGTGGAGAGCTGCAGCAGGTGCCTTGGCTCTGACAAGGGGTGGGGAGGCAATCCCAGCTGGCCTGCAAACACAGGAGCAGAGTCCCTTGCCCCAAGCCCACAAGAACACAGTTGCTGATGGGGTCAGTGGTGGCAGCTCCTGGAGAGTGGAAGGATGGCTGGGATGTTACATTCTTGAGGCCTTCACATGTACATGTCATCGTAGCCCGGCGGGGGGAGATGATCGGGGTTAGGTCTGGAATGGAAAGCAGGGCTGGTGAGTTGGAGGGATGGAGAAGCCAGGTGCACTGAGGGAGCCTGTCCTCCAGTGTGAGGTGTGGGACGTTGAGTTTTAGAGCATGCACTCTAGAGTTTGAGCTCGAGCCCTATTTTGGCAAAGTTGCCCAATCCTCAGGGTCTCAATTTCACATCTATAAGATGTGAACAGTTACTATCTACAGACTGTCAATGTAGAGTTTCAGCCACACATACAACTTTCATTAAGTGTAACTCCTACTCTCTGAGGACAGCTGGGGGAACAGGTGCAGAGGGACGGAAGCTCCTGGAAGGCTCTAAGGAGGCAGCAGGCAGGGACTAGAGGCTATGTCACTCTCTTCGCAGCAGTGGAGACTCTGTGCTTAGTGTCAGACACCTGTGAGGCTGCAGTGCTAAGATGCCCTGGACTGAACTGCCACCAGATGCCACCTCTCAGCATACCTGGGTGAATACCTACCCAGATGGGCTGGTTCCAATGGGTCCAAAGGGGTCAAATCGAGCTCCTGGGGGCACAGCGCCGGGGGGCAGCCGGGTTGGGAGGCCGGAAGATGGGTCAATGAGTGCTCTTGGGAAGCCAGATCTCAAGGGATCCACAATCATGCCACCTCTCCGACACCTGAGGCGAGAAGGAAGATGGGTAAGTGACTGGGACAGGCAGGAATGGACTAAGAATGACCGGATGTCTACTCTGGATGGTGAAGCAGGAAGCAGGCAAGAGCAAGAATGTGAAAAGCATGAAAAGGGCACACCATCACCGAGGTGGGCCTGCAGCAGTACAGAGTTCTGCAGGGTTCGCTGAACGCTCAAAACTGAGATTCCGGTATTTCCTACACCAAAAGGAGCCAATCTGGTCAAGAACAGGAACTAGAAGTGGCAAGGGCCAATGGTGTTGCAAGGCTGTGCAGGGCACTGCTTTCGCTCTAAGGACTAATAGTAACAACACTGATTCCATTCACGATGCTAGCTTGCTGTTGGCCTTACGACAGTTTCTCACTGCCTGTGGGTTGCTCAAGTCTGGCTCCTGACAGCATGTATCCCTCAGAGTTCCATGGACTTCATGTGCTCAAACTGGGATGAGTAAGCTGATGCTCCTCACACTCTGAGGTCAGTGCTTGAGCAGCACTGAGTTAAGTGATTTCACTGTCTAAAAATGAGATGATAAAGTTGCAGTCACTGCAGCAGAGGTTCCAACCTCGTCTGAACCTTTCAAAGGACAGGGTGCATAGCTGAGGCTGTGATAACTCTGCTGGGTGCATGTCAAAGATCACAGATAATCTAATGGGGCCCAGAGACTCCCTTTATCGAGTGAGGTAACCCTGAATAGCCCTTTGCTGCCCTAAGGCCTGCAGTCCACTGAGTGCTCTTCAACCTGCATCTCATGCACCCTCGTGTATCCTTTCATCCGAGGGAGGGCTGCTGTCCTCAGGGTAGGGGGAGGGAGGTGACTGAGAAACGACAGAGTTGCCTGTCAGGCTTGCTCAGTCCTCCCCAACACTCAAGAGATCTCTGTTGCTGCTCTAGCTGTGAAAGAACACAGAAAATGACAGTGTTTTCTCAGCAACAACGGCCTCCTTCACCTTAAATGAAGAGACTGATGAAAGCTCTAAAATTAGAAAATGAGCTGGGGCTGAAAGCCACAGAACAAGTTCTGTTGCTGCTACCTCGCCAGCAGTACTCACCCAAAGGGGTCTAGGTCTTCTCCCCCGACAGCAAACGGGCCCAGGGGATCACACCTGAAACAAACAAGCGACAATTACCAAAAGTCCCAGAGCAGGCAGGCACCTGGGCTCCCAGGGGCCCAAACCTGATGCCTGTGGGGTCACAAATGCACACCCAGGCATGGGAGACAGGGAAGACACCTGCCCATAAAAGACCACAATAGAAGTAGTATTTCAGCACAGATTAACACTGACTGTATTAAAATGGCAATTATTCAGAAGGGCTGAACCAAAGCTAAAAAACAAGGATGATTCCAATTCTGCATAAAGATAAAAATATTAACAGTGCTAACCTCCAGATAAATTTTATTTTATTTGCACCTTCCTCAAGTTCCTACATTTTGCATAAAGAACCAAGAACTTTTATATATGAAAAAATACTCAATTTTTTTTTTTTGGTGACACTTGCTAGGCAGGTACTCTACCACTTGAACCCCTCTGCCAAAAATTACTCTAAAACCAAAAACCCAACCCCCCAAAATCTTAGGTTTAAAATCTTCTCAGGTGGAGTGAGAAAGAGGTAGAGTCACATGCTGGAACAGAGCTTCTGAACCTTCTGTTCATTACAGCCTCACGTGAGGGTCACTGAGTACAGTGATCTGTGCAGTGTAGCCTGCTGGATGCCACAGGCCAAAAACCTTGACAATCTCTAAGATTCTCTCCCCCACCCCTTCACTGAATTGCCTGAGTTATGAAGTATGAATGTCTATGCTTTCTGGAGAGCATATGTACTATACTCTCTCTCTAAAACACACAAAATTTCTGTTTTTCCAAGGTCTTACAATCTTCATATTATTTGACCCAATAATTTTATGTCTGACTATCCATCTTAAAGAAAGAACACATAATTCAAATTAAAATATATCCACAAAGACTTTAATCAGGGAAACTAGAATCACCCTGAAATGCGGACCAGCGAGGTATGTCATGGTTTATCCCTCTATGTAGCCATGGAAACAATAGAAACAAGGTGCTAAGAATGCTTTAAAAAAAGATGTAGAAGATGCTCAAGCTCTAGTGCTAAGTGTGAGAGAAAAGGGGAGTATGGCTGGCTTAGGAGTACCAGCTCCGAAAGATGCCTGTGTATGTATGGGGGCAGGGCATGTATGTATGAATGAAATAGAAGGCAACACCTTGAAAGTGTAACTAGTGACAGTCACTTCTGGGTGGTGGGATTCTCTTCATACTTTCCATAAAGGATATGGATATGGGTGTAATTAAACAAAAACGATTTACTATTTTAAAATGTGTGTTTTGGAATTTGCTTGGAGCCCTGGTGAGCAATACAAACCTGACAGTTCTGGGACACGGCTGGTTCCTGCCACAATAGGAGAGCCTTATCAATAGCAGCTAATCTAAGCTTACAGGTAAGAGCCATTAATTAGAGAACTGGGAAGAAATCCAAAAGTAAGTGCTTCTCTAGTCACTCCCACCTAATAGGCTGGAAAGGATATTGCAATTTGGGCAGACAGGGACAGGATTCCAAAGGAAAGGATTGCTCCTAAGCTCGGTTATTGTTCCCAAGCCAAGGTTCATAGAGCTAGTCAGTTTCTGGTGGCTTCCAACATCTGGTCTCTGTAGAGATAGGCCAGGTGGAGCCCAAGGGCAGCCAGCACCTTACCTGACTCCATAAAGTGCCCCCTACAGAGCAGAGACATAGGAGTTTCTAGAAGCTATTAAAATGTCTGCAAGTAAAGAGCCTGACTGCTCCAGAAATAAGCAGCCATCTCTATTTTTTTCTCTGGATCAGAGTGTGGAGAGGAAGAAAGAGAATGGCAAAGGCTAGAAAGGCAGCTGCAAGGTCTGCCCCAGCGATCTGTATGCTGGAAACTGTGCACAGGCTCTCTAGCCTCACTGCACGGTGTGCACACTTTTGGGAGCTCATTCTGCACTTGCTTAGAATGCATTTATAACAAATAGGCAGGTCCGCCTCCCTCTCCATAGCTTCCTTGGTAAGTAAGTCTTGGTCCTAGATGGGCTGAATGAGACTCCAGGGATGAAAAAAAAAAAAAAAAAAAAAGACTGTTATACATGGCTCCTGAACTTAAGCTCCTACTCCTTGCTGGTCATCAACTGAAGGAAAGCAGGATCTACTCAAAACCTTGAGGGAAAACCTTTGGCATGGTTGGGCTGCAGTAGGCAAAGGTGGCCCCTCTCTCTCAGGACCTAGAGGGCCACCTTGATCACACAGGATTCTTTAGGAGGGCCCTCTTCTCTCACATCAGAACAATGTGCCTTCTTTGGGCACAGAAATTCAGTTGACACGCCCTAATGACCACAATGCCCTGAATAATTGAGAAAATCTCAGGACTGGGAACCAGAGGTATGTTCGGGACTTTGGGTTTGTGATTTTCTAGCTGGCTAGGAGGGGCCTGTCACAAAACCTCTCAACCTCAGTCTTTTAAGATGTAAAGTTTGACAGTAACCAGGGGCTGCCACATGGGGAAGCATGGTTTTGGGTATGAGCAGACTTGCAGACAGGAAAGGCCGAGTGGATCAGCAGCAGCTGTGCTTCTTACCAAGAATAAGTGTTACCTTGTGACAAATGATGTAAGTTCAGCTCTTTTTCAATTTAGTTTTTAAAAGATTAATTTATAAATGTAATTCTGAGTAAGTAATGCATTCCCATTTTCAAAATTCATGAATAAAAAAGATTGCAAGCCCATAATCTTAGACTAGATGTGTTTGGAAATCAGAATCTCTCATTATACTTTAGAAAGTTCAAGGGGTATACCAACATAGTTTAACACCTCCAAGCAGGACCCTCAAACCCATACCCTAATATTTCTGTAAAATGCATATTCATCCTTAAATGGGATACAAATGAAGATACAATGGGATATAACTGAAGCTACAAAGGACTTCATACCACTTCAGACTAGGTTTTACCACTATAAGTTTAGGCACCAAGCTTACGAAACAAACTTCTGATTTGAGAGCTCTTTTGATTTCACATTTGTAGAGAAGAAATTGTGAATCTGTGATAGTCTCTCTTATTCTTGTCACCTAGCCTACTAGGTGACAGCTAACAACAGCAGTGTCTTACAAAGATACAAATGTGTGTCTCCTACTTTACAAACAATGAATGTGCGGAGTTCCCTCCATACCTTGGTTTATCTTTGCAGCAACTCGTAAGTAGCCTTCTGATCCCTCATTTACAGATGAGAACACCGAGGCCCAGAGAAGCAGCTTTTTGCACAAGGCCACAGACATTAATACAGTAAATCCGCCTTATTCGTGGATTCATTACACATGGATCTGATCAAGTGCAATCAAAAAATAAAACTCAAAATCAAAAGAAATTTCAAAACCAAAACATTTTAATTCTCACGTGTGCATCATGCAGCCCAGCTGATGCAGAGAAACTCTCAGTCAGTTCTGTGTTATCATCAGTTGTGTGATCTGCTGAGGGTTTCCCTGTCCTTCATTTTGTTAAAATATGCTTTCCCCAAAGCAAATGGTGCCCAAAAAGCAAGGTTATGGTAATCCTTTCAAGCCAAAAAGGGCATATAATATACTTAAGTGAGAAAGTGTAAATTTTAGATTTGTTCAAAAGCAGCATGTCTTCAGCGGGAGTTGGGTGGCATTATGGGAAAAATGAACTAAACATTCAGAGTATTTGAGATAAAGGGCATGAAGTAAGACCTAGCTGTTGGTGAGCAGTATTAATGTGTACAACAACCATTTTTGTGACAGTAATGTAGCCTACTACGTGCGGTTTCAAGTTATGGATGCTTAGACCTACTGTACATACAGGTTACTTTGGGTCATTTGAGTACTGAATTCTGCATCCTGAGCATTCGTGATTTTCCCCTCAACACTGGTCCCCCTGGAACCATAGAACCACAGGTACCAAGGGTCTTCTATAAATGTAAGATGGGACTCACATTAGGCCTGCGCAGTTGCTAAAGGTGGTTATTGTTATATTTAAGATCTAGATCTGTTATTTTATTATTAAAAATTGTTCTAATTTTTCTTTTCCTTTCTTTTTATTATTACTCAATTTTAATTTGTTTTTGACTATTTCTCTTCGCATAGAATTTTTGGGTTTTTGTTTGGTTTTTAATACCTCACTGGGTCAATTAGTAGTAAAACTGACTTAAGTGAAGAGTTTAACTTACAGATCTATAGAAATTACCCAACTGAACAACAAAGAGAAAAGACTTTAAAATACAGCCTCAGGAAACTGAGGAACAATTATAAAAGATCTAACACTGAGGTCATTGGAGTCCTAGAAGGAGACGAGAAAGAGTGCAATACATAAGAAATTTTGGAAGAAAATAGTGACTGGAAACTCATTGATTTGGCAAAATAAATCAACCAACACATCGAGAAAGCTTGGAAAATCCTAAATAAGATAAACCTGAAAAAGTCCATGCTTAAATGTATCATAAACAGTTGAAAACTAAAGACAAAAAGAAAATAGTTTTGAATGCAGCTAGAGAAAAACAAAATGTTGCTCATAGAGGAATAAGAATTTGAATGGTTATGCATTCTTCATCAAAAACAGTGGAGATCAGAAGGAAGTAAACAAACATTCTTAACATATGCAGAAATAGAATTGTCAACCCAGAATTCTGTATCCAGTAAATAGTTCACCTTCATTTCTGGTGTAGTGGCTCATACTTTTAATCTTAGCTGCTTAGGATGCATGATAGGAGGATCACAGTTCAAGGATGACATGGATGAAAAGTTAGCAAGACCATAGGTCAAAAAGCAAGCTGGGTGATGTGGCACACATCTGTAATCCCAGCTATGTGAGAGGTGGAGGTAAAAGGGCTGTGATCTAAGGATGACCCTGGCAAAAGTGTGAGACCCTATCTGAGAAACAAACTATAGAGTACTTGTCTACCAAACACAAGGCCCTGAGCTCAAACCTCGGTACCACAAACAAACAAAAAAACTCAAACTGTTTGTCCTCATTTATTGCAATAGTTTTGTAACAGCTGCTTTAAAGTTATCAGATAATTCCAGTATCTGTGTCAGCCTGGTATTGGCAACTGTTGATTGTCTTT